TTATCAACAAGAGATAAGATGAGAAGTACTTTATTGAATCATAAAAAAGCCATGGCATTGTACAAAATAAAAAAATGTGTTGCTGCAGCATAAAAAGGCAAGGCATTGTACAAAATAAAAAAATGTGTTGCTGCAGCATAAAAAGCATGGCATTATAAAAACAAAAAAAGAAGGTAAAACATGTACAAGAAACTACTGTACTACTGTGGCAATTACAGAGGTGGTTCGTCTTCATGAAGAGACGGGTCACGTCGGCTGTCCACAACCTGGCCAAGAGTGCGCAGGAAGGCTAGGTTAAATGCCTGAGTTTGAGCGTTCTCCTCCCTTCTCAAGGCCATTTCCTCCTCCCTTGCCCGGGCAGTAGCCTCCATGGTCAGCTGCCAGTGCCGATCCACCTGGGCCAGGCTCCGTACATGGTGCCGTTCCTCCTGTGCCAAGTGCTCGTCTCCTCCTCGTTTCCTCTTGCCTGTATGATGATAAGATAATTATAGCAATAAGAATTAGCAATAACAATGAAAAACACAGGACAGGTACAGGTCACACAAGGATATAAGAATAAAATGTATAAGCAGAACTACAGTAAGGATGAACTAAAGACAGTTATGCCCTAGATGTTTACAATGATTGTGAAAGTGAATTACATTATGTCCAGCCTGTTGATAATGAATATAAATATATGTATATAATAGGATGTCACACACAATTGTACTAGCTGCTTACTAGCTAGTTACTTGTAACAGAGCACTTCCACACAGTGGTATAGCTTATTTTACTTACTGACGATGGATGATCTGAAGTTAAAAAAAAAGTCACAATTGCAGTCGTTTTGCCATGCCTATTTCTTACCTAGAACCACACGCTGCGGTGTCGCGATGGCACTCGGCGTTGGTGGTTGAGTTGGTGTCGGGTGTTCGGTTGGGCCTGGTGTCTGGGGTCGAGTTGGGGTCCCTTCTGGATTCGACGATGACGAGGACGGATCACCCATTATTCGGGACTGTTCCAGCGACGTGCAGTCAGTGGAGGCAGGGGAGGCAGAGCCAGAGCATACTCCAATGTAACGGAAAAACAACTAAAGAAAAACGAAATAGTAATAATAATAAAATGTCTCCACTGATCTGTGTTGTAAATGTGATTTATGTATGATTCTAATCGCTTTTTATAGTCAAAATCAGCAAATTTGCAGAGCTCCGCTACGGGAGTGATGACAAGTGAGGCAGGGGCGTGCTCTGCCTCTCTTAAGCCCACAGTAACTTGCTGGAGCGCGGGCACTAATTTAGCGCGGCCACTTATTTTGTGAGCGCGCTCAAGCCATTTACTGTGGGGTGAGGTGAGGCACAGATGAGCCCTGCCTCACCTCAGAATGCGTCACCCCACAGAAACTGGCTGGAAAGCGGGCCCTAAGCGCATGCCTGTTACCATCTCACTGTAGGTCACCAATGTAATGTATGTAGATCCCTTTATTACATTTATCCTCGCCATCCATAGTCTCTAAATAACTTATTTCACGTATATATGATATTTAGGCTCGCTGGTCTCAACGGCAATGAAAATGCACCAGGGGAGGCAGCCATAACCTCTGCCGCACTGAAGCGGGCGCACGTGAGCCCACAGGTTCTTGTTGCTACTGTAATTCTACGCAGAGACGGTAGACGTAACAACAAACTAGACTTTTGAAAATACAGGAAGATAAGGAGGACTTTTACAAAAAAGTAATAGAGATTGTTGTCCAGAAGGATAGCATGGACTTCATCTTCAAGTCAAGGTAAGACCACATTTGTTAATGAAAATGGGATCTTACTAAGAAAGAACAATCCAATAGTTAGATTTTGGGTATCCTTTTGTTGATCGGTCTGTTTAAAATGAATTGAAGCATCAGACTAAAAAAGCTTTTGAAAATAACCGAATATTTCGATTAAGGTCAAAATATAATATTTGTAAATCTGACTCAGTGCCTCACCAGCCATGAACCTCACCGCACGTCACTGGACTGTTCCTCCTCACTAGAGACAATGGCATCATCTAGAACAGCAACATGACTTGTTAATTCCACAAACTACTGCAGCACAATACTAAATAGCAACAACAACAACTGTAGAAAAGAAAAACTGAACGTAAACAATGGCACATGTGGTGGTAGCAAACAATAGCTCTAGCTAATGCTATCTGCCTTAGCTAGCTATGTAGCTCTTCGGGGATCCATACAAGCATGGGTTGTAGAACTTAAATGTAAGGATAAAATAGACTTGTTTGTTAGAAGTGAGCTTTATAATAGATAGGGACACAACGTTTTCAAGCAAATAACAGAGCGTTAGCAAAGACTTACCATGCAGAGACTCCAGCAACGCGGTTGCAGAGTCCAGGCCTCCCTCCCTCCCAACGCTGGCCGGTCTTCGGCCATAAATATCGTCCATCAGGTCGAACCACTTCCAGCTTCTCCTATCTGAACCACTCCGGCCATTGTGGTCCTTGACGGCTCGATACTCACTCTTCAACCTTTTCAGTTTGTCCCTACACTGCTGGAAAGTCCTTGCGTATCCGCGTACGGACAACAGTGCAGAGACCTCCTGGAAAACTTTGAGGTTCCGAGTTGTGCCGTCGAGCTCCCGCTGTATTTTGTCATCTGCTATCAGATGGAGGAACGTCGTAACCTCGTCAACGGACCACGGTGTGCTTTTTTTTGCCATTTCTAGCTTCTCTGTTTTCAAAAATGCTGCAAGCGTCACATTATATGCGACGCTAGGGATGATCAACTCGCGCGAGAATTGTGACGATTCTCTCTGACCAATCAGCAGTCCGCCCAGTTGTTGGCCCGCTAGTGTGGCCTCGATAGAACCACAATTTTCTAGGGCCAGAAAAGAGGTGAAAAAGTGGCCCCAGGCCGGGCCGGGCCAGGACTACGCCTAGTGGAAGCACAACCAAAAAAGGGCACGGCACGACACGGCAAGCTTAAAGCGAGCTCCGCGCTGCAGTGGAACTGCACCATTACCATCATGCAACGCACAAGCAAGACGTTGATCGCAATTGCGCAGGTCTGCGCAGGTCTCGCTTGTCTCAAACAAGCCTATAATGGTCTAGCTGCGGCCGCGGCCAGTACACGACACTACACGACACGCCCCCTACACGACACGCCCACCTGACACGACACTACGGTGGCTGAGAGACATTACCGTACATGGCAGATTAAAAGCGAATTGATGACACTTATTATTATTGAGATCGTACATGGCAGATTAAAAACGAATTGCAAATGTTATTGTAGCATTTTAAGCAACTATTAGGCAAATAAATTAATAACCTAGTCTATCCGTTTGAGACACAACAGTATAACTTTCAACCCAAATCATTTTGTCAACAAACGGTGGTTTAGTAAACTTTTTTTTAATATATAAAATAGGTATTAATGAGATAATCTATTGATTATGTTTGTCTAACTGCTACACATGTATTTTATACATAAATGTAGAGATTTGTGAACATCTAAATATAGTTGTTAAAGGTTTTAAGATATACATAATCACATCATGGGGTCATTAAGGAACAAATTAGGAGGGCCAGTCAGGCCACTAATGAGCTCAATCATTCACATGTATTATTACTTTATAAATTAAAAGTACTAGGGGTCTATTACAAAACCTTTGAAGGAATCGCATCAATTAAAATAAATGTATGGCAAGTATGATCAAATTAACATAATGTCAAGATATAGCCAATAGACAATCAACATGCTTTGAATATAAAGGAAGAAGAACAATAAACAGATGAACATTTAGGTTTTATGTGTAAATTGTGAACAAACCATCTTAATACATCTGGCAGTCTAAGACAGCAAACTTAGTCATTTTGTCCGACTTGCTCTGGAGGCTCGCCTACATGAGACGTTGAAATCTCGCGGGACAAAGACGCCCGCAGCCTTGAGAGCGAGGCGCGGCGAGGCGGCGCAGTTTCTCTCCACGGGCTGCGGAAGCGAAATGCTTGATGGGAAACGACTCGCTGGTATCTCGAGCTGAGCGCTCATTGGTGGTTTTTACCCCGTGCTGGAGATGAAACTCTCCATTGGCTCGGCAAAAGTGTGTTGTTTTGTGTCAGTTTTACGTCGCCACTTCCATTCACATTTTTCATCATTGTTCCACAATGTTTATCATCATTAAATGAATATCTATATATTTTATACTATACTTGCACTGCTTACCGTTGTCATACTTTATATATCTTAGCATATTCATACAACACTCTGTTCATACTAGGCTAGGCTACTGTGTATATAGTGTATTCATACCCCTCACTGTTTATTCATCATTCAATTCATTCTATATTTTATTCTGTAGATTGTGTACATTACTTTTCACTTTACTGCTTTATGCACTCCTGGTTAGAAGCTAAACTGCATTTCGTTGTCTCAGTACCTGTAATCTGTGCAATAACAATAAAGTTGAATCTAATCTTGAGCAGGAACAAATGTATTTACTTAACGATTAAACACATTTGTCCATTCTTTATCAATCAATCAATCAATGTTTATTTATAGCCCAATATCACAAATGTTACAATTGTCTCAGTGGACTTCACAGTTTGTACAGAATATCAGTATGACAATACGACACCATCTGTCCTAACGTTTCACATCATACAAGGAAACACTTCCAGAGAAAAACCCACAGTTTAAAGGGGAAATGGGAGAAACCTCAGGGAGAGCAATAGAGGAGGGATCCCTCTCCCAGGACGGACAGACGTGCAATAGATGCCGTGTGCATTTATAAATGCAAACCAAGTCAAGCCGACTCCGGAGGTGGCGGTATGCACCTTAAAGTTGTTTGAAATCCGCCAAAAAACCGAGAGAAGAAGAAGAAGAAGAAGAAGCCGACTCCCAGCTGTCCGACTTCAGGCGAGCTTTTTGAGACCTCCCCCGGCTGCGATCGGCTATTCTCGTCTACTTTCGATGCGAGCCGCAGCTCGTCTCAAACAAGAGCCCCACTGGTGCTGCGTCATTGCGTCATCGTTTTGCGTCATGACGTAACTGTTTGCGTGCCTGCTTCATAGAGCCAAACCGCGTGGAAACCCCTCACATCGACAACAACAACAATGGCCGATTGTATTGAAGCGCTACTCGTTTTGGTTTTGCTCTGTCGAAACTAAATGGAACAAATGGGACGATTTTACTACCAACTTTACAGTCGTTACATCAGGGATGCAAACTCATCAGGTATGAAAAGGTGACAAGGATCCGAGCCCCCCGACCCCACGGAATATCGGCTTTAAAATGAGGAATAACAGAGGATTTTAGCAGTCAGAACAACTAAAGCAGTTAATAATAACAGAAACGCCAAAGAGTCACATCTAATAGAAATGTATAAAAGCATTTATTTGAATTGTGTAGTAGTCAGTTTATAATTTTGGCAGCACTGTTGAGCATTTTGAAAATGTATTTTCATGCCTCTGTGCAAGGCTTAGTCTTTCTATCTGTATAGCCAGTGGTGTAAAGTAACTAAGTTCATAAACTCAACAAGTACTATACTTGGGTACAATTTTGAGATACTTTATTTAAGTATTTCAATGTGTTGCTACTTTGTTCTTCTACTCCACTACAGTTCAGAGGTAAATGGTGTACTACTACATGTATTTAATACCTTTAGTTACTTTACAGATGTGGATGAATGATGTGAAATATAATCAAGTGTTAAATCAGACTTTAGTTCCACCTGGAGTAAATTCACAAGCTACCCTGCAGTATACAAAGTCATTCAAACTAGCTGCACCTTTACCAGCTTTGAGAACACTTTCATGATCAATCATTATAAAACATATCATATATATTATTCTGAAATGGACCAATCTGCACAATGACTACTTTTACTGTCGCTACTTTAACTATATTTTGATGAGAATACTTTTCGACTTTTACTTGAGGAACATTTTGAATGCAGGACTTCTACTTCTACTTTTACTCAAGTACAAGACCTGAGTACTTCTACTTTTACTCAAGTACAAGACCTGAGTACTTCTACTTTTACTCAAGTACAAGATCTGAGTACTTCTACTTTTACTCAAGAACAAGACCTGAGTACTTCTACTTTTACTCAAGTACAAGATATATACTTATACCACCTCCGTTTATAGCCTATGAAAAAAACTATTTGAAAACGAAGGCTCAAGCTAACGTTAGCAGATAGTGACAATGTATGCTAGTTAGCTAGCTCAACGATAATATTGCGCAGGTGTTATGCCGTAGGTTGAAGCCTTGCCGTAGATTGAAGCCCTGTTCGCGGGGATGCGCACAGGTGACGTCATCGGCTGTATTGAGCTTCGCCTAGTTTTCAAATCTTTTTTCTCTCTTTTGAATGATATATTTCACATCAGATTAAACAGCAAACGGCTGAATAAATAATGTGCATACAATTGCAAGGTTGCTCGTTTTAAGGAAAGACAATGAAAGGATAAGATGTCATTTGTCAGTATAGTCCTATTTCTTAAAACCTTCGCTGTTGTTTAAGTGTCTGATAACCACGAATAGTAAGCAATGATATAACAGTAATGATATAACATATATGATAATGTAAGACACTGTTATTTTCAATCAAGCCTAAAAGATAATTTGTTCAAACTAGCTCCACTCGCTTTAATTGCTCCTTTGAATGTAATTGTCCTCTGTGGTTTCCTACTCAACACATGTTTGTATTGTAATGCCACTCATATTTTATTTTTTATTTTATTTTAAGGTGACATTGAATGTTTTGAAAGGTGCCCTAAAATAAAGTTTATTATTGATCTTATATCTGTGCCTATATCACGCTATTAATGTTCCTTATTTTAGACTGGGTTAATCCTGGTGTCAATAGGGAAGATCTGCACTGTTCTCTACATAACATGTTCAGCAGAGCAGGTATTTCTCCTGCCAGATATGGCACCCCCCCTACAACTTTGTCCAGGAAGGTCACACCGTCACCAAAATCACACTGGTGTTGCCTGTTCCCCTCTAGTGTGTGCTCACAAAAGCATTTTACTCTGGGCCCATTAGGTAAAAAACTAAAGAGGGGCTTCCATATCCGGCAGAGAAGGTGTTGTAGCTGCCGGATTTGGAAGCCCCCCTATATCTTTGTCCAGGATGGTCATAGACTCACCAAAATCACACTGGTGTTGCCTGTTCCCCTCTAGTTTGTGCTCGCAAAAGCATATTACTCTGGGCCCAGCAGGTAAAAAACGAAAAAGGGGCTTCCATATCCGGCAGAGAAGGTGTTGTGGCTGGCTGCCGGATATGGAAGCCCCCCTATAATTTTTCACCTGCTGGGCCCAGAGTAACATGCTTTTGTGAGCACAAAGTAGAGGGGAACAGGCAACACCAGTGTGATTTTGGTGAGTCTATGACTATCCTGGACAAAGATATAGGGGGGCTTCCAAATCTGGCAGCTACAACACCTGGTCTGCCGGATATGGAAGCCCCTCTTTAGTTTTTCACCTGCTTGGCCCAGTGTAAAATGCTTTGGTGAGCATAAACTAGAGGGGAACAGGCAACACCAGTATGATTTTGGTGAAGTTGTGACTATCCTGGACAAAGTTGTAGGTGGGGTGCCATATCTGGCAGCACCTTCTCTGCCGGATTTGGAAGCCCCTCTTTAGTTTTTTACCTGCTGGGCCCAGAGTAAAATGCTTTGGTGAGCACAAACTAGAGGGGAACAGGCAACACCAGTGTGATTTTGTTGAGTGTATGACTATCCTGGACAAAATGATAGGGGGGGGGTTCCAAATCTGGCAGGAGAAATACCTGCTCTGCTGAACATGTTATGTAGAGAACAGTGCAGATCTTCCCTATTGACACCAGGATTAACCCAGTCTAAAATAAGGAACATTAATAGTGTGATATAGGCACAGATATAAGATCAATAATACACTTTATTTTAGGGCACCTTTCAAAGCATTCAATGTCACCTTAAAATACAATAACAAATAAAATATGAGTGGCATTACAATACAAACATGTGTTGAGTAGGAAACCACAGAGGACAATTATGGTGCAGTTCCACTACAGCGCGGAGCTCGCTTTAAGCGTGCCGTGTCGTGCCGTTCCCGTTTTTGGTTGCGCTTCCACTAGGCCTAGTTCCAGCCCGGCCCGGCCCGGGGCCACTTTCACGTCTTTTCTGGCCCGAGAAAATTGTGGTTCTATCGAGGCCAACAAACAGGGCTGAGTCGGGCTGAGTATGCTAAACTAGAGAGAGGAGCGCTGGCAAGGGGGCTACAACTACAACAAGATGGACATATTTGACCGTGATTTAATTGTAATACACGTTTCAAAATGATGCCGAAGTAACAACATACTGATACCGGTTAGTAAAAACCATGAATTAATGCTTTGTCAAGTCTGCAGACAGACGGCAGGCGAAAAACCTTTTAAAATGCGTATTTTTCTAAATGGAGATTGGCTAAGCTAACGCAGTATATGCTCCGACCGTCCACACTCACAACAACGGCCTATACAGACATAAATAAAGCAGCGACTGTATTCACCATGACACAGGCAGTCTGTGGTGTGTACTTGTTTAACTTTTGTCGAGTTTCTGAACATATATAAGGAGCTGTGAGCTCTGAGTGCTAACAGCTAACGGCTGTGTTGTGTTTCTGGAGTTCTCATTGAAGATGACGTCACGGCTCCGCCTACACTGCGTTACTATAGTAACTACCCCAGTTCCTAAACTGTAATGGAAGCGCAGCAGGAAGTGAGTCGGCCCTGTTAAGGCCGAGCCGTACCGAGCGTGGCCGAGGCCGACCGTGTAGTGGAAATGTGCCATTACATTCAAAGGAGCAATTAAAGCGAGTGGAGCTAGTTTGAACAAATTATCTTTTAGGATTGATTGAAAATAACACAGTGTCTGACATGTTATATCATTACTGTTATATCATTGCTTACTATTCGTGGTTATCAGACACTTAAACAACAGAGAAGGTTTTAAGAAATAGGACTATACTGACAAATGACATATTATCCTGTCATTGTCTGTTCTGTAGGAAGGAGGAACATAACAGAGTGGACTCAAAAACTGAAGTTTGTTCCAATACCAAGATTGTGACGGATCTGAAAAGTGTCCTTAAAACGAGCCTCCTCGCAATTGTATGCACATTATTTATTCAGCCGTTTGCTGTTTAATCTGATGGGAAATATATCATTCAAAAGAGAGAAAGTAAATAGTATCTTTAGTTTTTCCGCTTAGAAAACTAGGCGAACGCTCAATACAGGCGATGACGTAACCTTTGCGCGTCCCCGCGAACAGGGCTTCAATCTACGGCAAGGCTTCAATCTACGGCATAACACCGGCTCGGAGCTAGAGCCTGAAAAGTACCGGTTTTTCCTCTTCACACCGCAGCGGCGCCGCCTCTTAGCTCCGGAATCCGGTTCGTTTCCAGCTCCAAAAATGGTCGGTCTAGAAGCAAGACTCCGGAGCTAAAGGCCCAGACACACCAGGCCGATATCGGCCGTCTTCGGTTGTCTGACGAGGAAGCGTGCCCTGTCGCCCAAAGTAAATTTGGTGTGTCCCGAACCCTCGGCCGTGACACGCCTTATTTGGCCTTTCATGGTCGACACACGGCCGATTCAACATGTCGGACACAAGCTATCGGGCCAAGAAACCACTCTGATCAGCTGTTCAGCTAGCAAATGAGAAGCGAAACGGAAGTGAGGGACGTAAACAAACGATTTAAGAAGGCACAGGACAGCAGCTAAACCCCAGCAGGTGATACTTAAAGACATCAAACATAGCCCTTAAATGTCCTCTCTTACCTCCCACACATAGCAGGGACATCTCTGATATCGGCGGGAGAGCTGAGAGCTCCGTGATTTGTTTGGTCAAGTCCGGTTTTTCATCTCATCGGTTTATTTGTCAGTATAAAGTTGCAGGATTAGTCTCAAGTACCTCAACATTGTCCTTAAGTACAGTGTCTAAGTAAATGAGATACTGTCTACTGCTGTTCATTTACCTATTGTGAGTCGCCTCGGATTAAAGCATCACATGGAAATGTAAATTTAGCAAGAAGTGGCCATTATTACATTACTACATTGCTGACTCAATAAACTACACACCCGCCAGAACACTGCGATCATCAGATGCAGGTCTATTAACTGTGATTTTATAGTATGTCTGCACTTTATGTGCTCATTTCATCATTCATGTATTTTTATATTCTAAAACATGTTTTCGATGGACGAGAGTAAAAATGGAACGCACACGCTATTTGTTGTTTGTTGAGCTTTGTGGTAGTGATTGTTTTGTCAAATTAATTGTCTCAACACTGTGAGAAAAAGTTTTTAGAGAGTACTTGTCCATGGACAAGTGAGTTTGGCAATTTACTTGTCCGAATACATTTTTCACTTGTCCAGAATCGACAAAAATTGGGGCCACTGGAATCTTCTTCTTCGCCATCGTATTTTACATTTTCCCACGGCTTTTACGACACAGCTAACGTAAGTGAGCGGTAAGATTTTACTGCATCACACATACGTAGGGTTGGGTATAGTTTTGGATTTGAACGATTCCGGTTCTGCTTTTCGATTCCGGTTATTTTCGGTTCTCGATTCCGGTTCTTTGAGAGGGTAAAAATAAGTCCCATGACAAACTGGGAGAAAAATATATTTATGAAAACATTAAGTCAAATCTGTATTCTTATTTACAAATCACTTCAGACTGTTTAATTTCTTACGGTTATTGAATACAATTATATAAAAATAATCTCTGCATTGTTTAGTTAGTTCTAAGTGGTGCAGTTTGAGAATGTACAATTGGCCCAGTCTCCTCTGATGTTACACTGCAACCTGCCTGTGAGACAGAGTCCAACCACACATGTCCAACACATAGGCCTAATAATAATAATAATAATAATAATACATTATATGTATAGCCTATAGGCCTAGCGCTTTTCTACAACTCAAAGACGCTAGCACGCTTACACATGTCCTGCAATACACATGCTGCAGCTGCCCAGCTGCTCACTGTTTGTAAAAGTAAATAAATAGTATTTTCATTTCAATAATGTACTTTCTATACCCTGCTTCATAAACAATACTGACATCCCTGTGCTCCTCCGAGTCTGGGGGTCGGGGGATGTGAGGACAGCGCGAGGACACAGACAGGGAGGCTGATTTACTTCATAAAGGAAATGGCGTCAATATTAACAACGTAGGAGCTAACGCTTAACGCTTAATAACCTTCATTACGTGTTAGAGAAAGAACATAAGAAAGTTTGACAAAGATGAGGCTGTTAAACGGGCAGCGGGTCCGCTGTGTGTAGAAAGAGAGAGGGAGAGAGAGAGAGACGCTGAACTGCACCGTGCAGCGATCAGATGATCCGGAGCAGAGAGAGAGAGCTGCGGTCCGCGGGGCTCCGCCTCCTGTGCTCACAACTCTTATTAATCACGGTACCGGACAATTGTTATTTGTTCCTACTCGGAACCGAGTTTTGCTTCCCAACCCTGCCACTGTGCTACACTTCCCGCCCCGCCCCGCCCCCGTCTAACAGTACAGAAAGCGGCGAGATGCATTTCCTTAGGAATCTACAAGCAGAACCGAAACTAACATTTCTAAACGAACAATGGCGGATACGGACAATTTGCGAACGAGTTCTGCCTTTTGAGAACTGAATTTATCTATAATTTGTCAATAAATGAGGGCTAAAAACGTCACTTGTCCGCCGGACAAGTCAATTGAAAGATCTACTTGTCCGATATTGTAAATAACACGTCCCGGACGGTGGGACGGGTGCTTTTTCGCACACTGCTCAAGGTTAACATTTAGAAAAACACTAAATGTTTATTTTAATTCCTGTGGTTTGCTAATAAGTAATGTGGTAATCTCTGTTATTGCAGATGGCTGAACTTCAGGTAGACGAGAACACAAGCAGCAGAAAGAGTTCATCAGCAGAGGTAAGTTACTTTAACTTTTAAAAGTGAAAATCCTGGTTAAATAATTATTCATATTTGAGTGAAAACAATGAAATTCTGTTAAAGTTTAGCAGTCTAGAGTCCTGTTGATTTAAGTTTTCAGAATTGTTTACATGGTTGCATTTGAGTCTAAACAATGAAGAATAAAAAAGCGTTCGTTACACTGAGTGAATCATATTGGTTGCTAGGAAACATCTGGCAAAATCAATCAAAGATGTGAACAGGAAGTCACCTGTAGCAAATAGTGAGTGCTAAAGCTACAGTAGCATATACAAGGAGATGGTAACATCTGATCATTCACATTTACTCTGAGGTGGGAGAAGTACTCGGATCTTGTACTTGAGTAAAAGTAGAAGTACTCAGATCTTGTACTTGAGTAACGGGCCGTCTCCACAGCAGCGTTAAAAAATCTTGAAACGCTTCTGCCCATTCACTTTGAATGGGGTGACGTCACTTTCCCTCACTTTTCGCCGAAATGCATTGTGGGCAGGCGAGCGGAGATTTTCAGGATTTTGAGGCTGAGGTGGAAGCGTCAGCCAATCAAATCCCGTGTACGCAAATCTGAGCGTTCAAGCTCTAGCCAATCAAACGGCGTGTATGCTGGGAGAGACATGCCACAGGTCATTTCCTCATATTCCAAAAAATGGAGGAGAAATTGGCGGTAGCGAATCAATCACCCGGTGCTTTATGACCAGACCTACCGGGATATAAACCGGAGGAGCCAGGCATGGAGGGAGGTGGCAGAGACAGTGGTAGGTTTTCGCCTGTTTTGGGGAGTTTATATCCAGTTTACTTCTGGCTTTTTTGCATCGTATGTCGCGGGCGGGAGATTCATGTGATTGGTTGTTCGCAAAAAATCCCCAAGCTTCAGATACGCCCACCTCCAAGATTTTTTTAACGCTGCTGTGGAGACGGCCCGTAACGGACCGTCCACACAGCAGCGTTAAAAAATCTTGAAACGCTTCTGCCCATTCACTTTGAATGGGGTGACGTCACTTTGCCTCACTTTTCGCCGAACTGCATTGTTGGCAGGCGAGCGGAGATTTTCAGGATTTTCAGGATTCAAAGTTGAGCAATGTTCAACTTTTGAAGCTGAGGTGGAAGCGGCAGCCAATCAAATCCCGTTTATGCAAATCTGACAGTTCCAGCGCTAGCCAATCAAACGGCGTGTATGCTGGGAGAGACATACCGCAGGTCATTTCCTCATATTCCAAAACATGGAGGAGAAATTAGCGGTAGGGAATCACCCGGTGCTTTATGACCAGTCCCTATTTACCTACCGGGATATAAACCGGAGGAGCCAGGCATGGAGGGAGGTGGCAGAGACAGTGGTATGTTTTCGCCTGTTTGGGGAGTTTATATCCAGTTTACTTCAAACTTTTTTGCTTCGTATGTCGGGGGCGGGAGATTCATGTGATTGGTTGTTGGTGCCTTGCTCGCAAAAAATCCCCAAGCTTCAGATACGCCCACCTCCAAGATTTTTTTAACGCTGCTGTGTGGACGGGCCGTAAAAGTAAAAGTACTCAGGTCTTGTACTTGAGTAAAAGTAAAAGTACTCAGGTCTTGTACTTGAGTAAAAGTAAAAGTACTCAGATCTTGTACTTGAGTAAAAGCAAAAGTACTCAGATCTTGTACTTGAGTAAAAGTACTCAGATCTTGTACTTGAGTAAAAGTAGAAGTACTCAGATCTTGTACTTGAGTAAAAGTAGAAGTACTCAGAAAAGTAGAAAAGTATTAGCATCAAAATATAGTTAAAGTACCGACAGTAAAAGTAGTGATTGTGCAGATTGGTCCATTTCAGAATAATATATATGATATGTTTTATAATGATTGATCATGAAAGTGTTCTCAAAGCTGGTAAAGGTGCAGCTAGTTTGAATGACTTTGTATACTGCAGGGTAGCTTGTGAATTTACTCCAGGTGGAACTAAAGTCTGATTTAACACTTGATTATATTTCACATCATTCATCCACATCTGTAAAGTAACTAAAGGTATTAAATACATGTAGTGGAGTAGAAGTACACCATTTACCTCTGAACTGTAGTGGAGTAGAAGTACAAAGTAGCATAAAATGGAAATAATCAAGTAAAGTACAATTACCTCAAAATTGTACTTAAGTACAGTACCTGAGTAAATGTACTTCCTACCTCTGAATTTAACTAATTTATAAAACAATGAAACGAGTTTGTGTGCTTCAACCCTTTTAGTGTCTGTGAGAGCCAACCCCTTTGTATTTATTTTAAAAACAAATCAGTCCGAATCAATCAACCAATCAGTGCGTCTTTGTTGTTTTGTTGTATCAAGTTAATAGGTATTTATACTTCTTCCTTTATTCAGCGGTATTTTAGGCTACGACGATTAGGGATGCCAGAAACTGACCATGATTAAATTCGAAAATCGGACTCCCCTGGCGAATATTAATCGATTATTCGATTATTTTGGTTGAAACTAAGCCAGGAAAAAAAAGAAAAACATAAATAATAATAAAAATATATATAAATAAAATCGAATTTTAAAAACAATTTTCGTTTATGGAGCAAGCGGCAAACTCTGGGGAAGAGCCGGGACGCCAATACGGAAGTGCCACAAACTGCAGTTCATATATTGGCCGATAGGCGCTGACTGCAGAAAGGAGCAATTTCCATAGACCCCCATGTTAAAATGCCCAATTTTATAGCAGAAAAAAAACCTTTCTAGCCCTGGATGCAATAAATATTATTATGTATATAGTTAGATTCCACCTTCATGATTATGAATCTGTGAGTGAATTGTATTCTAACATGACCCTTTTATTTATATTAGGTCTTAAAGTTTTTGCATAAATTAGGGCGTGGTCACATTGAGTGACAGCTCTGTCAAGTGACTGCTGCTGTTAGCTTCTTGTCTCTCTGCTAGCTGCTCCGTCTCCGTTAAGCTACAGGGACTCTGCCTACTCAGTTCATCCAGGGAACAAAACTTGACCCTGGCCGTGTTTGTTTGTTCTTCATGCTTATATATCGGACTATTGTGACTCGCTCTGCGGTTAAAACAGACGGTGCATGAATGCCGTTTTGCGGTAAGTGAAATTCGAGTACTTTATTTATGTGTTTATGATTTCAATCAGCTACGTAATGAATGTTAAGGCTTGGGTTAGCGTGTAAGCGAGTGGTAGCTACATCGGTGCTAACGATGCTATTCGTAGCCTCCAAGTTAAAACCATAGACTGTATATATAAAGGTTAAAACGAAATAGACAAGTGTTAAGCGTTAAGTGGGATAATACTGTAGAACAAAAAGCTTCTGTTTGAGGTTGGTAAAATAAGGTCATCCTTGTAACTTAGAGAGATATTTTATTATGTAGGTAGGAACTGTATGCATCGCTAAGGTTAATTTAAATTGGCTATGCTCAAGTATGTAGACAAGCTAACGTCGAAGTAGTGTATGTGAAATCAACCTCACAATAAGATGTGTGTATATTACAATTATTAATGTCATATTTCAAGATGATTACTTAGATATTACAATATGGTTGGTTGAGCTGGAGTTCATTATTGAGCTTACACGTTAACATCAGTCATCTGAAGAACGAACCCAAACCTTGTTGTTTTTATTAATTGCATTACCAAATTGGTATCAAATAAATAGTAAGCATTGGTAACACAACTTCCAAAGTTACAGTAAAATAAAAAGGACCCTGACTCGGACAATACACAATCCAACATGTTCAACAGAAGAGATTAAGTTATATTGTTTGTACACATGGTTCTTTACATATATATCTGTTTGTTTAAAGTGTCCAGGTGATGCAGACAGGCTGGACCAGAGAGTGAGAGACAGAACTGGACTCCTCACAGCAGTGAACTTCAGCACAGGTACAAATACTATTTTTTCATACTGTACAAAGAATCAAGAAAGATATTGGTTTAAATAAATGAAGTATTGACTTTAATACACTGATATACATTCCATTAAACAATACTAAATACTAGATCACCTACACATCAGTGAAGTTGAGGTTTTTTTCCATGCAAAGGGTTACATGTTAACAAGCAATATTACTTTGTCAGCTTTCTAATTTAATGTATTGAAGGCAAAGATATTTAACGCATAGTGACAACTGCTATTTATCTCTCATTATAAAACGGACAAGTAAAATCAAGCAATCTGATTGGTTCTTAGCCGTGGTATACTGAGCGTATACCACGGGTAGAATTGTAAGTTACTTTTCACAACAACTCAGTATCCCTCCGCGTCTGAGATAAACAGTATACAGTTGGGCTGAAAAGCAAACTGCAGGCAGTTTGCTTTTCAAACTGGAACAAGAAAGCAGCGGAGAAGTAACGGGGCAGAAACCCTCCTTTTTACGCAACGGTCCAGACATAGACATCAAACGGCAAAAACATATTCAGTGTGCAGTTCCGGGCTTCGCGTCGGGCCGAACCACGCCCCTTAGCTGTGATATAATGAGCATATACCACGGCCTGTCGTGAGCTATTGCTTAAATATTGTCTGTAAAAACGTGGTAAAAGTGATTCTTTCAGTGAGACAACAGAGCAAGCTTGTTTTAATAACAGTTAAATATTATTTTGATAATAAAATACATTTCAATGTTGATGAATTTCATACTGTTCATTCATAATCTGATTGTCTTTGTAGCTCACTGTTGAAATAAAAAAAAACATTACAATTACAAAATAATTATATCTACAGCACAAACACACCTCTTTCATAAATAACACACTTGTTCTGCAATAATATGTTTTATGTTTCCTGTAATTTTTGTTAGGGAAGGACATGCCTGAAAGACACGACTCCGACGGTCAAGAAAAACATCCAATAGGAAAATTAAAAGCTGATGTTATGAGATGTTAAGACCAGTACAGGACATTCACTAAGAAACTACTTTTATTGTGAAAACAGTCAGCTGATCGAATGCACCTATTTCCACATCTACACTCCATCAGCTGATTAATTCTATTTGCCTCACTTCATGAGCTTCACAA